TGACTTAGTGACCTCTCAAAATAAAAAATAAAAAAGGCGTTATGGATGTGGTTCAGTGCTAAGGCCCTGTGTTTAATCCATAGTACAGCAAAAAAGAAAAAAAAGTTTTTATGGAACTCAGTCTCCACCCCACCCTCTTCCCAGGATCTATGAGGGTGGCAAAAGCTCCAACTTTAATTATTACTCAGTCCTTCTGGGACCAGATCCATCCTGAAGCTATCTAGGGGTTCCACACGGAGCCCCACAGAACAAGCTCAGGTGTGCTGGGAATGCGCCCCTGTGAATAACAAGACTCACCTGACACAAGGTACTTGGGAAGTGCAGCTCAGCACTAAGAACTGGAGACAAGCACTAAATGTATTTCTTAGTATAGCACAGCTGGGGATATGGATCTACATTTCAGAATATTGGATACTGTGAATATTTTCATAAATATAAAAGGCATTCTATTTAATTTTAATCTGCTCAAAAGCTAATTGCATATTGATAATAACATAGTATCTGCACTTGTGGGGTTCATAACAGAAGTAAAAGTGAAATATGACTAACAATGGCAGAATGGATTGCATTAGTCACTTTCTGTTACTGTAACAAAATACCTGAGACAATCCATGTACAAAGAGACCGGGTTTTTTTATTTATTTTTTTTTCTAAAAATAATTTTTAAACAAAGCAAAAACAATAAAAATATTATAGGGTTTCAAAACAGAAGGATAGGAATCAACAGTGGTTGTTATATTAGACCAGGTTTAATTCAGCTCACAGTTTCAAGTGATGAGCAGTTGGCCTGTGGGGAGGAAGCACACCATGGTGGTAGGGAATAGCAGAGCAAAGCTGCTAACTTCATGGCCAGGCATCACAGAAGAGTGAGGAAGAGGCTGGGCTCCCACAATCCCCTTTAAGGACCCAATGATCTTGAGTCCTCCCACTAAACCCCACCTCTTAAAGGGCCCATCACCTCCCAATAGTGTCAAGCTGGAGGAACAAACCTTTACCAAATGAGCCTTTGGGAGATCCTTAAGATGCAAACCATAGGAAGAATGAAAGAAGGGAATGGTGGGGGAGATTGTCTCACCACGTATGTGAAGGGGCAAGTTTTAAGTCAAAGTTGTACAACACAAATACTAAGTTAGCCACTAAATAAAGAAAAGATGGACAGATAATATGCCAACAATGGATCTAAAACAGAGTCATTAAAGACACTGTATTAATATAAAAGAAAGCAGAAAAAGATGGAGAATGGGACAAACAGCAGGTGTAAGAATAGAAAGCTAAATAGCAATATGGTAGCTTGAAATAGTAGCCTATTCATAAATACACTAAATACAACAGTCCAAATACCCCCAGTTAAAGGGCAAATATTATTCTCACCCTTGCACCTGTTAGGAAACTGTGAGGTCCAGTAAGTTTCACGTATTGGGGTTGAGGTTAGAATCCCCTCCCTCCAGCATATGGCTGTCCCCGTGAAGATGGGGGTGGGAAATCAGAGAGAAGGAGGAGGAGATGGTGCTGGGTGGGTGGGAAGCAGCGATGGCCACTTGCATGTGGTAATGGGTGAGTTACTTCACAGCCTGTCACCTGTCAGGTGGGTAACATAGCCCTGCCCGGGCTCTTTGAGAACTACAAAAATTTAGGATAAAGCATCAAGAGACAGTGCCTGCCACAGATCAGGCAAACTCCGCAGTGATGGCTTTGCGGTGCTTTGGCTGTCACGGTGGTTGCTGTATGCATTGGCAAACTCTAGAGACCGAGTGGCACTGGCTCACACAAGACTGTGGCAGAGTTGGTCTCTCTCTCTTCCCTGCAGCTACCACTGGAGAATGGAAATCAGGGAAAAGCGTGAGTGACAACTTATGCTTCCTATTCCTCTTGAGCACGGTCTTCCACACAGTCTTTCTGATGCACAAATCAGATCCAGGCACTCCTTTTTAAAACTACGACAATAGTAAGATTAGCTGCTATGGACCATGTGCTCCCCGGTTCTAGGCACAGTACAGGTTTCCATATTGCTGATTCTGCAAAGCAGGTGAGGAATCAGGAATCATGGAGGTCTCCCAAGGGTCACCCAGCCAGGATATGACAGATCCCAGGGGTGGATCCAGCTGTGCCTTCCCCATTTAGCAGCTCCTGGAGGAGGTGCTGCTTACCACAGATTTGGCCAGGAGGTCCTGGGGACCACTTCATGAGGTCGGATAGCAGTCAGAGCCTGTAGGGGTCTTTCAGCAGGGAGTGACTGAGCCAGAGGGGGCTGTGTGCACAGATCAGGCAATGCCAGCCCAGGGAACAGGCAGTCCGTGGTGCCTTCAGGGAGAGAGGTGGTGATGCCCTGGCCCACGGAGGAGGAAAAAAAGGCAGCAGGAGGGCACAGGTGTGAAGGCTGATTCTGTCATATGTCAGCAAGGTTTGGACATCAGATTGGGGCTGGGAACCAGATAGATGTCTTGGATCTTGTAGGTGCCTGGCTTGGTGCCATTCACTAGGAGAGGAGATGTCCATAGTGAAACAGAGTTCATAGGGGAATCTGCTAGGTTTGTGGATGGCCAAGCAGAGGCTGAGATACCTGCGTGGTGCCCAGGAGCAGGGGTCCAGGGAGCCACAGACATATGTGGCTACAGCCCAAGAAGTGCAGTCTGCAGAAAAAGACTTGGTAGTCATAGCCTGAATGTGTCCCCAAATACCGGGTTTGATCTCACCATCAAATTCCCACAACAGATTTGTCATCAGTCTGCTTTATCTCTGTCATGGAACAGTTACTAATGTTTGTGTCTGTCAATGCAGCTACATGGAACACTCAGAAGGCAGAGTGACCTGAAAGCCAAATCTCAAGAAGCTTAACTATTTTCTCAGTCACCCGGCTTGAGTCCAAGTCCTCTCACCCCAAGTTTCCAGGAGCTTTCTTCCCATAAAAAGCTTCCGTGTGTACTAGTGTGCTTTTTGTTGCTATAATGAGATACCTGAGGCAGCTTCATTTATAAAGAAAAAAGGGTTATTTGGTTCACAGTTCTGAAGTTCAAGGCTGCCTGAGTCCCAGGGCAACACAGCATCACATGGCAAGAGTCAGGGCAGGCATCTCTGTGTAATTTGTCTTTCTTTCTCTTCTAAAAAAGCCACCAAGACTAAATCATGGGGACTCCACTCTAAGGACCTTAGCAAATCCTAGTCACCTTGCAAAAGCCTCATCTCTAAATATCATGGATGGGTTAAACTTCTACCTTCTTAGTGCTATTAATGTGTGGTTTGGGGATTAAACTTCAGAGTGAATATGGGGGAGACAAGCTTTGTGGAAGGTGCAGCCCTCGAGAAAGCCATCTTCATCCAGAGCAGAAATGGGAGTGAAAATACCAGCCTACCTCAATTTTGTGAATACTTAAAAATGCAATAAAGCTAAGCTACCTCTACTGTGTGTTAGCATTCTGTCAAACGCTCCAGACATAATATCCAGTACCGTCACTCTTCACATCTCTAAAGTAGGTATGGAAACCCATGTCTGACAGACGAAGACGGGTACAATGTCTTGCTCTAAAGTGGTGGGGCTGGATTTGAACTTGATCCTGACTGCAGAAACACAGGCTGTCCTCAACGACGTAACAACTTTGGGAACTATCGTCAGGTTTTGAGGCTGGATTCTAAACAGCCTGGCACTTCTTGTTGCCAACAGCCTCTTCCATCAGCAGTCAGCAGAGAATTCTGCGCTGATTTTTGGAAACTTTGGGCACAATCTACTTGCAACCAGGTACGAGATGGTAGCAGAGTCCTGGCAGAAGCAGAAATTATCAGAAAGGGAGGTGGTCACCTTCATGGGACAGAGGAGGACACAGATATGGCAGGCCCACACCACCAACAGCTTCATGGACCTGCTGCGCTTAAACCTTGCAAGGGATTCTTATCCTCATTTTGTTAATGAAGAAAATGAAACTCAGGAAGATCAGGCGATTTGTCTGAGAACACACAATTCCCCAGCAGTGGAGCGGGATTGGCCTTTTCCCCTCCACCAGCTCGAGCGTGCCAATGGCTGTTCTTCTGGTGTCCTCACTCTGCCCCTTGGACCTCCTGCTGGGAAAACTGGCCCTATCAAGTCCTGTCCTGAATTGAAACTGGTTGCTTGTGCATGCATACCTACTAATGTCCCATGTGGTCACCTGGAAGCTCATGACCATGGTGCTCAGAAAAAGTGCACCCTTAGGCCCACATCCTGCCCACCATGCTGCACCGAGACTGGGGTTGCAGGTCTCCAGGGACTTAAAGGGGAGGTTCCAGGGCAGACAAGGGCTTTAAATGGAGACCCAGGTTCAAACCCAGGATTCCTCCCTCACGGGTGGTGAGATTACAGGCAAGTTTCTTATCTTCTCCAAGCCTCAGCCCCTAAGGGACAGTGATATATGCCAACTGGGGTGTCAGTGATGATTAGGGCCATGCTAAGGTGGTTGGGAGGGCCTAGCAGCAATCTCCTAAAACAGAGGCTTTGCCAGAGACCTCTTTTCTTCCTAATCATTTCTTGTTGTTGGGAAAAGACCACCTCAGGTACATCCTTGGGCTCTCAGAAGGGCTCTCAGAGGTGAGTGACATGGCCCAGCTCCTGGCAGACGTCACTGCCTCCACCGCAGTGTGATAGCAGAAGGGTCAGGCCACACAATGGGATGGTGTGAAAACAGGGACTCGGTGTGATTACTTGCTGAACACTGGGTGAGCCCAGTACATGTTCCTGGTCAGGACCTGGGAAAGGACAAAGTCCTGGGGCCGAAAGCAGGAGGTCCTGGTTTTGCTACTTACAGGCTTTATGATTCTGTAAAAAAGTCACTTCTTCTAAAGCTCCTCAATCTCCTCATTTGTAAACTGGGATTGATAACTTCGGTCTGAACTGGGAATGTTGTGTCCTGAGGCTGAACATTTTCTTGCAACTCCAAATCTCTGCTGGACACCATAGCGGGGAGCCACAATACGGAAGTAATTAAAAATAAACAGTTCCCACAAACAGCAAAAACGAGTTCAATTATGAAGAGTTGTGCGTGAAATACATTTATTTCCTAAGGTTCCTTTTATAAAAAACACAGTGGGTAACAAGCACACAATGTACGAATAGTCTTGCCTTGCACACACAGACTGCTTGGCACGCAGCGTGGCTCTGGGGTGTGACTGGGGCAGGCGTCTCCTCCAGATCTTTGATGGCTCATGACTGAGAGGGAGGAGTGTTCATGTCCCCGGGATGCAGAGAGTGGCCAAGTGGAAGTTCATAAAACCAGGGCAAACCGAGTCCTCAAAAGACAGCAGGTGTGAGGGTACCAGGTTACACATGGCACCTAGAAAAAGTACAACCCCGCCCAAGGCCCCGCCCACCTGCGCTGTCCCAGGACAGTCTACTGCCAGTTGTATATTATGAACAAACAAAACACAAGTGCACAGGAAAGAATAAGTCTTTCCATCTTCAGGTGTTCCCAGTGCCCTTTCCCTTGGGCTAGTCCAACCCCAGGACCCTGCTGGCTTTCCTGGCATTCAAGAAGTTCTTCTTTTTCCTGGGAGGAACGTGCAGTGAGATCTCTGGTTCCTTCGGGTTTCTGAATATAAAGAGCTTTTCACCCGTGTTTAATACATCAATGGTCTCAGTCCCTACAATAGGGACAGGGGCCAGTTCGCCAACGGGTTCCAGGGACAGGTGGGGCCAACTTCCTTTTCCAGAGAATATCAGCCTGTCTCTGATGGGGAGACACGTCTTCTTCAAAATGCTACAGAGAATGAAAGAGCAAACTGAGCATTGACGGTTATCTGGACCCTCCTAGTGTCTGACAGAGCTCTCCAGGAGATCTCCTTCGGGTCCTGACATCCCCAACTGAGTGTCCCTTTAAAGACTCGCTTTCCCTTTGGTCAGCAGTGTAGCTCTGACCACAGCTGACGCCTGTAACGGCAGTCTGCTGAGTCAACCCAAGGCCATGGCTGTTAGATGTTCAGGATCTCAGGAGCTACTGTCATCTTGTGGTTAGCCTGAGGTCAGCCACGCTGGGAGGATGCGCCAGTGGTTAAACATTTATCAGTACACTGTTTGGGTCCCATCCGCAAAGCACATGGATGGAGCTGGGTTACAAAGCAACAGTTGGCAATTAGACTAAGTGTGTTTGCCACAGAAAGACTGCTGGGATCCTGTGCCCAAGCTGCCCTCTGTCCCTGGCTGCTCTTGAAGATGCCATGACTGCCCCTCGGAGCCATATGTCACCTGCAAGCAACAGGGCTCTCTCTCTGCCCAAGTGGTGCAGGTCAAGGCCCTATCACCAGGGAGCCCACCTGGTGGACACTGTTGGCAGGTGTACTGGCCCTCCTTGAAGGGACATGGCCGATTCAGCTCCATGCTGCCACCACCACATCCTACCCTCCAGCCTGGGTGGTGCTGTCCTCCCACATGGGTCTACAGTAACTTGGGTGGAGTGAAGGCTGCCACACTGAACGAGGACAGCCATAGCCTCTGCTAGTGGGCACCCTCCACATCTACAGTGTCACCTAGGAAAGTCTCCAGGAGAACATTTCAACAGTTCGAGTAGTGTGCATTGAATTTCTTGATCTGGGCTTGAATTTACTTCTCTTGACCACTGCACTGATCTAACTTCTTTGGGGCCATGTTCAGACACCAGCCCAGTGCTGATGCCTCCAAGCTTTCTATCACAGATGTGCCACAGTGTAAGGTCGACACCTTCCCCTGGGCTCTGAGAAATTACAAAAGGCCAGAGCTTAGGCAAACACTTCCCTTGGACAGCCGCGATTCTGGAGCACTGGGTGGATGCTGCTTTTTAAGTCATTGAGTCTACCTGATGTTACATTTGTTTCTAAATCTTCTGTAGTTGGAACCACGGGAGACATTTGATGAATAATCTGAAGCAATCTAAAGCCTCTCTGCCCCTCATGTCTTCCTGACTGCCTGGTGTGCAAAAGTCACAGTAGAAAGGGTGTAAGCCTGGAAGTTACAGCGAACAGAGGGGGCAGTCAGAGGGTCCCAAGTGCATCTTCTGGTCCCAAGACACCCTCCAGCCACTGTCTGGGGCTGCTCCATGCAACTCCCCTGAGCGGCAGTTTTCCCATCCACTTTCTGGAAGATTCAGTGCAACGTGAAGTGGGAAGGCTTTAGCAGTGACAACATTGGAGCTGCTCTACAGAATTATTCTTTTTCTAATTATATCCCACTAGAAATAATTTTCAGCTGAAATAAATACATTAAAATACTATTAACGTTACGGGAACCTTCACCCACTGGTAGGTATGGGCTTGCTTTCAGCCTCTGAACGAGGTCCATGGGATTAGGATTTTCAGTCTTCGGGGTAGGAGCCCTCCTCCCACGTCACCTCCCAGGTCCGTCCCGGCTCCCAGCAGCACTGAGCAGGCTCATTACCTCTCCTTCCTCCGCCATGCCCACAGCATCTTCTCCAACCCTCTGCTCCTCAGATCTGCCCGCAGTCTGCTTTCTAAGGCTTGCCACCAGCTCTGGTGTTTCCTGGCAGCAAGAAAGGAAGGTCTGATTGTTGAGAGAAGCAGTGTTGGAGTGATTGGTAATTCTAACAAGCCCCATGGGGCTCCATTCTCCCATCGAGCACCTCCTGGGCCCTTGTGAAGGTTTATGTGGAGAACTCCCCCAGAGCCTCATCCACTCGAGGTAGGCCTTCTGGAAGAGGCCTGGCCCATAGGCGCTCACAGCTGGCTTGCCATTGGGAGGTGGGGCCTGGTCGGGAGGGACCGCGCATTCCCTCTCCCTCTCTCTGCGTCTCTGCTCCCCTCTGTCCTGCTTCCTGGCTCCGTGCTGTGAGCGGCTCCTCTCTGTCACGGAGCCAGCGGACCATGAGACCCGTGAGCCCAAATCAAGCTCTCCTTTAAATGGTGGGCATCGGGTATTTTGTTCAATGGATGCAGAAAGTAATTAAGATGGGCCTGGTCAGGGTGGGACTCCTGTGCTCCCAGTATACCCAGTCAGGGGGACTCACAGACAGGCACAGGTGACACTGGTCAGGTAGAGGGGAGCAGAAGCAGTGCAGAGGCGGAGACGCGAGGAAAGGGATCCCGGGGGAGCCCTGGAGAGGAGCTGTGTGCCGACCCCAGTGCACAGGCGGTGCACGCTGACTCTGCCCCTTACGTTCCACATGGTGCTCGTGTCTAAGGCAGGCTGGGCGTGGTGGTGTGCGCCTGTAATTCCAGCACTCTGGGAAGCTGAAGCAGGAGGGTAAGGAGTTCAAGGCCAGCAAGGACAACTTAGTGAATCAGTGAGACCCTGTCTCAGAATAGAAACATGAAAGGGCCGGGGAGCCCAGCTCAGTGCAAAAGCCCTGGGTTTGGGCCCCTGTAGTGAACAAAACAGAACAGTAAGAATCGGCAGGCACACTGGGCACTCCGGAGGGGTGCTATGAATACGTGGCTGGGAGGAGGCGAGGTGGGGCCTGAAGGCCTTGGGCAGCTGTGGGACACTGGAGTGAGAGCAAGGACGTAGAGGGTCGCAGGAGACTGGGACAATAGCTATCTTGGGCCTCAGATTCGATCTCAGTCAATAAAGGACAAAGAGGAGCTGAGAGTCCTGCCAGGGCCTGCGCATTCCTCTGCCTCAGTGGTCCTGCCCGGCTGGCAGTGGGGACAGCCCTCCCCTGCTGGCCCAGCCAAGTATTCCCACCCAGGCCAGGAAAGGACACTGTTCTCACAGCAGCACCCAGAGGGGCCACCACACTGCTGCCCTGCCCTTCCGGGCTTGGACAGCGGGCTCTTCCTGGATATCCATGTGGCCCTCAGGACACCCTGCTGCTCAGTCAGCTTCTGTGGCTTGAGAACCAAGGCCCTGAACAGACGTGATGACCAGGCACTGGACACGTGGCCCCGAGAATAGTGACTACCCTGTTGCTGTCCATAGGGACCATAATGGGTACCTGGGCCTGAGGAATCAGCCTGTCTTGCTTGGCCAGCAGGCTGGACAAAGAGAGTGGAGACAAGTTCCACACTGTGACAGCTGCCCTGTGTGTTCCTGCCCGTCTCCCCTGCCAGCTCTGCAAATAGGCTGGACGAAGGGGCAGCCCCCAAACAAGGTCCTCAGATCACAGCCTGCCTCTCATACCAGCCCACACCGGGCCTCTGACCGCAGTCACACCCAGCCCCGGAACCGCGCCCACACCCAGCCTCCTGATTGTGCTGGCCCTCAGGAACGCTAGGCAGGCTCCTCCTACCACCAGGGACTCCTGCTCCCACCAACTGCCCTTCCTCACTCCCCCTTCCTCTCACCCAGCCCTGCTCCACCTCCAGTGCTTCCTAACTTTTTGAGTCAGAGACCCCTTTGTGAGTCTGACTATAAGACACTGCGCTTCTGTCAGGATGAGTACTGCCCGCACACCTCTGTCCACACCCAGCCATCTCAGCAGCATCCCAGGCATTCGTCCCAGCCTCCCGTGGGTCCTGGCTGAGGACTGGAGCCCACAGCTGGCTTCCACACCTGACTCTCTTGCTGCCTTCTCTTGCATGCTCTCTCTTCTCAGGTGACACTGCTGGCTGCTCCCAAAACCTGCCTCACTCCACACCCCAGCCTCCTGCCTTTCCTTGTAGCGACCACTTCCGGGTCAAAGTCACACCTGGACCCTTGTCCTGAAGGAAAGTATCTGTAGAGGTACCCATGGGTGAGGAACAGAGGGGCCCAGCTGAGTGTGCAGGGATAGACAGCAGCAGCCCCAAGCCTCTGCCAAACCCATCTGCGCAGTAGTAGGCATCACGAAAAGTAACACCTACGATGTGTCCATCCCAGTGACAAGCGTGACTTTACACTGATAAAAAGAGCAGGAATACTGTCTAACTAGTGGAGAATGAATGAGATGGGACAGCAGGAAACGGTAAGGGTCTGAAGAGCAGAATGCACAGCTGGATACACTGCACGCCACACGCGTGCACGCACACACACACACAAACGGGCCACATTTAAAATGCTGCGGCTTACACATGTTCAGCTTTGTGATGCCGGGGAAGCAACAGGAAGTCAGTGGAAACCGTGCTTTGAATATTAATCTCACCCCAGGTTGGCAAGGGTGGTCCTGACTCTAGGATGCTGGCCAGTAGCACTGAGCCCCAGTCCCAGCCAGCCACGTGATCAGGACACAAGGGATGCTCCACACCACGCTGCTTGGTGAGGAAGCTCGGGAGATTACGTGTGTCAACGGCATCCTCTGAGTAAGGTACTTAACGTAGGATGGGTTTACCAGGACAGAGCCCATCATAAACCAAAGAGCATCTGTGCACACATTCATGCACATGAACACACAGCCATGCACCCATACACAGTAACACACACACACACACACACACACACAAGTAAAAATTTAAAAGTCCAGCTTTTTCCCTTAGCAGTATTCTCTGGGCAAACAGGAAGTGGGTTAATGGGCATGTTTGACACATGGCTCTGGGCATATTTTTTTCTTAAAATTCTAGTTGAAAAATAAATTGGGGGGCATCATTAGCAAATACTGGGGCCTGCTATGGCGTGGGCCCATGAAGATGTTGTGAAAGCGAGCAGCCAGCTGGAGAGGAACACGGGCCTGGTCCCTCCCTCTCTGGGCACCCGCGTGCGCCCCCTGCCGGGTTCTGTGGGCATGCAGGGCACTCACCTCCTCCTGCCTGGGTCAGGCTGCTCCCCGCTGCCCGGGTTCTCCACCGTGTGCTCAGGGTGCTTCTCGCTGACTGAGTCCAGCAGGGTCAGCAGCAGGGGCTGTGGGGCGGTGGGCATCACCACACTCAGGAGGCGGCGCAGCGTGGCGCCAGGCACCGTGGTCATCTTCGTGAGGTAAGCCGCCAGCCTCAGCTCCTACAGGACGAGGCAGAGGGAGCTCAAACCCTGGTCATTGCTAGATGGGGTGGATAATTTTTAATTTACTACATTCTTAAGGCTTTTGCTCTCAGGGCAATAAATATTTTAGTGGCTCCGTCTGGAAAACACACTCCAAATTCACAGGGCAGTCAAAAAAATCTGTTCCGTAACCTTGGCACCTCAGGGCGTTTTGAAAGGTTTCATCCACCCCTCCCGATTGTGCTCAGCTCACTTGGCAGGGCCCACATCACCACACAGCAGCCCCGGTGGGTGGCAGCAGAGCAGTCAGTAACGTTCTCCCCCTCCTGCTTGGCTCAGGGGAGGCCACACAGCCCGGGGGAACAGGGCAGCTCTGCGACCAACTGGAACATTTCTAAGCCAGTGGGTGATTAGCGACACTGATCTCCTCCTGCACACCCCTCTGCAGTAAGAGAAAGGACTGGACAGGTTTCAGGGACACTGTGCAGAGTGGACACAAACAGCTTCCAAGAGCTCCAGGCCGTGCGATTCCACGCACATATCGAGACAGCCTGGGCGCAATTTAGTGATGGAGAACAGACCCCAGCCAGGCTGGAGGCAGGGGGTGGGTATGTCTAGGGAAGGGCATCTCAAGGAGGCCTTTATGGTGGTAGACAGCAAAAAACCTCTTCCTTTTTCTTCCCTCACCTCCCAGTACTAGGGATTGAATTTAGGGATTTTGCCCTGAGACCCATCTCCAACCTTTTCCAATTACTTTATTTTGAGACAGATTCTCGCTAAGTTCTAAACTGCCCAGGCTGGGCTTGAATTTGCCATCCTCCTGCTTCAGCCTCCTACAGTGCTAGGGTTACAAGTGGTGCCACCATGCCCAGCCTTTTTAAAAAAATATTTTGATCCACAGTTGGCTGAATCTGGGGATGTGAGCTGAGGATATGACCTGTCGCTGCCTGCCGAGCATGCGCTCAGGGCTTCTCGTCATCCCCTTTATCATCCCCACCCAACAGCAGAGGAGATGCAGGTCCTGAGAAGGGAGGTCCACATGAGCAGGAGAGAGACCCAGAAGCACACTGGCCTCTTCTCACCTGGCTGCACAGGGTCGAGAAGGTGTCTGTCTCCATGTTTTCCAGCAAATCTTCCAACACTGCACTGCTCTGCTGCTCCTCTCTCAAACTAGAGTGGAGACAAAGTCCAGGCTCATAAATCCAGCTGTATATAAAGGGGCAGCTATGGGAAGGTCTGAATAATGAAGAGTCACAGATCTAAGCTACACGATGTAACACATATACAAAAATTACACCTCTGTAAGAGGCAGGAGGAATGTTTACACTTTAAAAAATTTATTAGAGTAAAAGGTACACTGCCACTAGTTCCCCTCAGAATGCTTCCCCTTACTTCAAGCACGCTTATCTCTGCTCTTGCTGTGTTCTGAAGCAGTTCTAGAGGCCTCTTTCCTGAGTATCTTTGGTTGTGCTGTCATGGCTGCCTCAGTGTCTTAAATCGATCCAAAAGATTTCCCTTTCATGATCATTTTGACTTTGAGGAAGAGCCAGAAGTCACGTGATGCCAGATCCAGTGAATAAAACACGAGGAAACTATTATGTTTTTATAAATCCACCTTTGCATTGGATGGGCAGCAGTATTCACTGTATTTTTGCCCACATCTCATAAAGACACTCAAGAGGGAGGACTTCCAGAGCTGCTGCAGAAAGGGGCAAAAAGATGGGAGGAATGTGTTCCAAGTGAAGTGGAGTATTTTCAGGGGATTGATGGCAACATGTCTTTCACTGCAATAAAATCTTTTGTTTCTACTTCACTGTATTTTTCAATCACCTGTGTATATACAGAAATAATACACACATACATATACACATACGAAAGGAGGTGAATGGAGAGCTTCCTCTCCTCACCTGCTCTGCTTCCCAAAGAGCAGGCCAGGGAGCTCACAGGCAGGAAGGCTGCTCAGTGAGAAGATCCATCGGCGCCCAAGGCCACTCTTTGGTTGCTCTGAGAAGCTCTGTGGTCTCACTTTGAAAGCTCTGCATCCCTCTGAAGCACACTTAAAAAGCAATCCCCCTCAGCCGGGCGTGGTGGTGCATGCCTGTAATCCCAGTACTCAGGAGGCTGAGGCAGGAGGATCGTTGCGAGTTCAAGGCCAGCCTGGGCTACAAAGTGAGCTCAAGGCCAGCCTGAACTGCATAGTGACCCTGTCTCAAAAAGAAAAAAAAAAAAAAAAAAGCAATCCCCCTCGAGTACCCCACTCCTTCCCTGTAGCTATAACTTCTTGTTCTGGTGCAGATAAGATTGGAAACTATGTCCTGTAAACAGAGTTTATGTCATCTTGTTCTTGCAGGACTCATAAGGCTCTGTCTTCTTTCAAGGATAAGTAATTAATTCCTCTGCCTTACTTCTGTCCCCCTGCGTGCCCTGCACCCCCAGTCTCTAAAGGTCAATTCCCTCAACTAAATGTAAACTAGAACCTTCCCTTTGTTCTAATGCCCAGCACATTGGACGTGAGTTCAGCTGGGTTGGTGTGCATCTAAAATCTGGGAAATAAATCCTCCTTTTTCCCCATTGGTCTCTCTGATCTCTTGGATTCTGCAACATTTCTGGTGATTACAAAGAGACCTGAGACAATGGATTTGCTCTCTCCTTTGCCTGCAGGCCCAAGAGGGCCTGAGCTGCAGAAGCCCTGAGAACTCTGACACCAAAGGGTGAAACCAGCTCAGAGAGGATACTGACCCTCCCACAACCCAGAGACCTTTCCCTTGTCAGCACGAATGGAACCTGGGGGATTCAGGATAATTCTGGAACAAGAGCACACTACAGGACTGTGATACGGTTCTGGGGGCCCAAGCGGGAAGACCTGTCCTGTTAGGACAGAAGGCAAGTCTTATTACCTCCAGAGCAGTATCTAGTAATATGACTCAGACTGAAATCTGACTGCACCAGCATCTCTGAGCAGGAGTGGTCTGCAAGGAGAACTGGCTCCTAGGGATGTTAGGGATGTGGGCGTGGCCTGCAATGAGAAAGGCTCACAATTGGTCTTATCTGGATTAGATTAAGTCAGATGAAACCTACAACCCCAAGTGGACTGTCAGGGAGAGAGGCCCACACCAAGAGAAGCTTAAAGGTTACTTTCAAACAGCTGGTGGGACAGGCCCACAGTGAGAGCTCCAAAGGGAATGCAGGAATGGCCAGAGGCAAGAAAAACTCCCAGAGAGCGTGGGAATGAAGGGAAAGGACCACAGCAGAAGGGCTTGAGACACCACAATGAAAACTGGGGGGGGAAAGGTGTATAAATAAATGTGTGTGTGAACAAAATTCACCTGGGCTCAGCGGGGACTAGGGTAAGAAAGTGGTCAAATTGATCTGCAAATGAAAGTAATTGAAAAAATGATTTGTGCTATAATGGGCAATGCCATGAAAAAGCTGCTTAGCTTTAATGCACCAGGACATACAGGCAGGGTGCCCTGGACAGGCTGGCAGAACAAAAAAAAGAAAGGAGAGGGAAGAGAAGAAGCTGTAAAATGGGGTGATGACAGCAAACAGCACAGGTGGGAACCAAGCTGGTCTGGTGGCTAGGCTAAAACAGAGGCACGGGGCCGGGGATTTAGCTCAGCGGCAAAAGCGTTTGCCTGGCAAGCGCAAGGTCGTGAGTTCGGTTCCCGGTACCGGAGAAAAACCAAAAAAATAAAAATAAAAAAAATAAAAAATAAAAAATAAAAATAAAACAGAGGCACAAGGCCAAGAGACTTGCGCTCAGCTGCACCTGTGGACAATGGAGTGGCAAAACAGTCTTCATTCCAAAGCAGGTGCTGAGAAAAATAGAGCCCAAGGTCTCCTCCTGGTTTCAGGAGCACCAAGGCCAACTATTGCTCAGCGACACCAGTCTGGCACTGCCTGAAGGCATCTAAAAGCAGCTCCAGCCTGGGGTTGAATTCCCAAAAAAGTATTGCTGAACCCAAGGAAGTTTTACAGGAGAAAGCAAATTACAAATTTTAACTAATTGGCAAATGTACTTTTGGTTTCCAATTTGAGTTGATGCGCGTAGAACATTTCTTATGTGTTACAAATTCTTAAATTGCAATTACAGGATTAACTTGCTCTTTTCCCTGCTCTCTGTTGGTTTAAGATAAGAGCACTGATTCTAGGTTACTGAAGATCTGTAATGGCAGTCAGTCAAGTTTACTATCAGAGGGAAAGAGGGGACATTTTATAATTCAAGTGGCTAGAGTCAAATTTGTTTAAAAATTTATAGTAAATAAACACAATAAGAAGACTATAAATATAAAAGATATACATTTGATATGAGAAGAATCTGTATGATAAAAGTTTTGTCCTCCTAAAGAGATTTTAAAAAGAGATGATAACAACATTGGAAAGCTTACATACCTCAAGGAAGGCTTGTGACAACAGTTTATTTTTAAAAATATGTACAGTTACTTGTTAATTTGGTGGACCTCAAGTTGTTCCTTCTAAAAACTCCCGAGAGGGAAATGATCAAATCAACATAAAATAAAAATGTTTAAGAAAGTTATTTCTTATCTCACAAAAGAATAGATATGGGAGGAAAAATGGCAAAACCTACCCCATTAAAATGTATGTTGGCTAACTTTAAAAGGCACTGTACAGGAAACTATAAAATAAACCCCCCAGAGGTTTAGAACTCTTTATAAAATAGATGGACCCTCTGTAATGGTTGATATACTGCATCAACTTGAGAAGTTTAGAAGTTTAACTAAGCAACTCAGCAGGGGGCCAGGGTCCTCACTTTGTAAACATCCTCATCCTGTGCAATGGGCAGGGAGATGGAGTGAGTGCTACACCTGCCCCAGAGGGTAACAACCTGCTTACAATATAAGAGAAGAAAAGAGGTTTACTCTCCCTGTTTTCTACTCTTATTGTTTTTGCTGTCTTTTGTCCCCTTGAACTATTGCCCCTGCACCATGCTACCCTGCCTTGAAGCCAGCTGAAATCTCCACAGGCTGTGAGCTAAATAAGTCTTTCCTTCCTTAACTCTGAGTGTTGGGTATTTTGTCCCAAAATTGAGAGAAAAGTAACAAGACACTCCCCTTTGATGGTAAGTGGCTGGCTGGGGGGAAGTAAGGGAAGACCGACAAAAACCATTGAGTGTATATACAGGATGGTGACTGGGAGCAGAGGACCACCAGGACATCAGGATCAGCTTCCCTACACTGACTCATGGCTAAATATAGTTCAGACTAAACCCACATGGCTTCACCCCTGTCTACCTGCTTATTGACAAAAACTAGAGGGTTTTGCTGGCATGACTGCAACCCAGCCTTCAGAGGTGACTACCAGAGAGTATGTAAATGGTGACCAGGAGGTCAAACAAAAAGCGGACAGAGGCTCGACAAAACAAAACAAACAAAAAACCCCAAACCAGATCTACTGACACCAGTGCTCACAGAGAAAACACAACAACAATCACTAAGGGGCAAAGATGAGGGCACTGACAAAACAGGAGTCAAATCAAACAGGGATCTGTCAGTCAACCAAAACTAAACCGGGATCAATGTGTGTGATGTAAAAATATGGACACTGAGAAAATAAACGCCCAAAAATGATGACAAAGATGATAAAAATTCCAAAACTAGGAGGCCACCTACAAAAGGCTATTGGCCACAAGGAAAAAAACCACCAGGTGCAGGCCTCACTGGACTGACAGAAACTAAAGGTTACTAGCCCTAGGCCAGACTGGGCTCCATCCCCTTAGACATCCAGAAGCCATGGTCACAATAAAGAGTAGGGGGCCCCTTATGGACTTTCTCGTAGAGGGTAGAACTGAACATCTGGTAATAACACAACTCACTGGGCAACTGTCCAAAACATGTGACTTATGGGAGCCACCAGAGTCCCAGAAAAGAGGCCATTGTGCCGGCCTAACAGGTGTCATATGGAAACAAAAAGTCCAACCTAAGTTCCTGTATCTTCCAAACTGTCCAGTTCCCCTGCTGAAAAAGGACCTACTCCAAAAATACAGGCCTAAATTAGCTTTGGGCCACAAGAGTAAAGAGAAGACAACACAGTAAAAGGCTGACATTGAGGAGCACCTCACTGAGCTGCACAAGACATCAACGAGTGACCTCAAGGGACAAAAGGGGTTACGGAAGGACACACTAAGGCAATGGTGATGAAAAAATAAGATCCTCATGCTGAAGGTGAGCTTTAACAAAGCTGCTGCTGACAAGACAGAGCTAAAACTAGAGCTAAGACACATCTGCAGGAATGCCAAAAACACATGACACAACAAAAAACAGACAAAACTGAGGGCTACTGGGCAGCGACAGTTGGCAATGGAGGAAAAATTGGTGCTGTGAAGCTGAAGAATATATGCCAAAGAGCCTGACAACTAAGAAAGAAAAGGCAAGGCAGCACCAGGCTGCACTGGAGAAGTCAAATGAGTCAAGGCCAAGGTGAAAGAGGCCCAATGCCTATGGCAGTGAACAAAACAAGAGTCAGCTCTACAACTACAGCTGGCCCAAGAGGCTGCCCAGAAGGGACTCCAGACAGAGAAAGAAAACACATAAACATGTTGGAGCGGCTACGTGGCAAGACACGGACAACCTGGTGAGCACTTGAGGAAGCTGAGGAAGCCTGAAGACGTGCCAAGTGTCAGGCAACACAGTCTCGCCAGCAGATGAAAGAGATAAAGAGACTAAAAGAGTAGACAGAGACACATGCCCACACCAATGTACAAATGAAACTAAAAGCACAAAAACTACTATGACACATATAAGAGGAGATAACACAGTGGGAAAGAAACAACAGTAGACACACAAAAGCAGTATCTAGAAAGAGCTGCAACATCTGCAGCAGAGTTCAGAGGCAAAGATACAAGCCAAGACTCAACAGGTGAAAACAACCAAGCACAACAGGCTGCACATCAAACAAGAGATCTAGCCTATAGCTAGAGACAACTAAGTGCCAGCATGGTAGGGCTAAGGATAAACTGCAGGCTCTGTGTACATGGACAGAGGAGACAAAAACCCAAAAGCAGCAAGCAGAAGAGGAAGTTAAGCGTTTGTAGAGACGAACAGCAGAGGGGAGCCAACACAAGCGTCAAGCAGAGGCAAACTGGCCCTGTGCATAAAAGCTAAAGCTGAGACAACTCAAAAAAACAGAGGGCTCTACACTCACTGGAGGAACTACAAGTACAAGCCACAGGAGACAGAGAGGCAGCTGTGGCAGACAGAGACAGGACAAACACACCAAATACAGGTAACCCTAGAGACCACTCAATATAACACAGAGCCACAGCTACAAGCCAAACATGCCTCCTTTGCAAAAAGACTACACAGCTAAATCAGATCATACAGGAAAACATGTAACAATGGCCCCCAGCTGTGGGGAAAAAAACAAAGCAACAGGTACAGCAGCAGACAAAAGCTAAACGTGCTCATGAAAAGGCTGAACGTGGACCAGAGTGCTAACAACTAAAGGACAGTGAGACAGTGAGGCCACGCGGTATGGGTCCTAAGAAAAGTGGCCATTATACACTACAGGGGGCACCAGAGGACTGAAACAATAAAAGCCAGAAGACATCAAAAGACAGATGGGAAAACAAAATGGGCCTCTAGGATTGTCCTACAAAGGGGCCCTAGCTGTGTCCCTTACCCCAGAGCTACTCCTCCCTGAGACCCCATATTACTCTTACATAAAAAAGTCTGGTTTGCCTAAGAAGCTAAAAAATACACAAAGGGGGATAATGAAAGTTTGCTGATGGGAGGCTAGCCATCCCTGAAGTGCTGGGCCCCAGGTTCACAAAACAATTCCATCAGGGGTCTCAAACTGGAAAGACAGCATTGAAAACATTACTAGGCCACCATTTCTACGTGCCACGACTCACTGCCATTGCTCGGGCTATATATAAACAATGCTTGATCTGCACACAAAACAACCCAAGGCAAGGGCTCGCCTGGCCCCCCGATATCCAGAAACAGGAGCTGCCTCATGTGAAAATTTGCTTGTGGATTTTACTAAATTACCTCAAGCCAGTGGCTAGCAATATATGTTAGTGCTTGTCTGCACCTTCTTAACATGGGTCAAAACTTTGCCCACCTGAACAAAAAGGACATGAGAGGTGCTCACAGTACTGCTAATGGATATCATCCCAAGACTCAGACTGCCCTTGACCTTGGGGTCAAACACTAGACCAACATTCATAGCCAAGATAGTCTAGGAGCTCATACAGATGTTAAAGATAAAATAAAAGTTTCACATAGATTACTGGTCACAGAGCTAAAACAAAACAGAAAAAAAGGTAGAACACATAAATTAGACAGTCAAACGCTTGTTAAAAAATATTGTCAAAAAACTCACTTGAGGGCTGGGGATATAGCTCAGTGGCATAAGTGCCTGCCTGTCAAGTGCAAGGTCATGAGTTTGATCCCCAGCACCGCAAAAAAAAAAACAAAAACAAAACAAAACAAAAAAAAACCCACTTGAGACAAGACCAAATCCTACCCATGGTCCTCCTGTGAGTCCAGTGCACCCCCACTAAACATATGGGGTCTTCCCCTTATAAAATTCTATTTGGCCAGCTGCCCCCAATCATAGATCAAATTAAAAGAGGTCTCTATAAACTAGAAGAATTGTCTCTGAGGAGACAGATACAGGCTTTTAAAATAGCCACACAAAATATTCATGGTTGATACAAGAAAAAAATGCCCATAAGCCTGACCGATCTAATACAGCTATTCACACCTGAGAACTCTGCTTTGCTTAAAATAATAAAATCCAATAACCATGGGGCTCATATGGGATGGGCCTCATAGCGTAATCTTGTCCACCCTTACTACTATTAAAATTACAAGAACTGTGCCTTAGATCCACCACAGTGGACAGAAGCCAATGGCCCAAGACAGCTGGACCAGCCAGCAGGATCCAGACAACCCGAACCAGCTAACTCTGCAACGAGATCAGGCCACCACCAGAGGTAACAGCCCTGCTCTAGTCACACTAAAAGCTGGCTAGTCTACACACAGGCAAAGCTTGAGGATAAACATGGAGATACAACAACAACATAAGTCTCTTTCGCTTCATGTTATAATTCTCACTTTGCCCAATAGAAAGCCAAACCCCCATAACAAGGTAAATGTTAATGATAGTGATGTTGCCTATTAAAACTTATCATAGAAAGCATCAAAGGAGCGAATGAAGTGGGACTTAAAAAACAGTCTCCCTCAAACTCCATCCCCCGTAGCTATAACTTCTTGTTCTGGTACAGATAAGATTGGCAACTATGTCCTGTAAATAGAGTTTATGTCATCTTGTTCTCACAGAATTCCTAAAGCTCTGTCTTCTTTGAGGGATATATTATTAATTGCTTTGTCTTGCTTCTGTACCCTCACTCCCTGTTCCTAGTTTCTAAAATCTAACCCCCTCAGCTAAATGCATAAAACTAGAACTTTCCTTTGCTCTAAAATCTGGGAAATAAGTCCTCCTTTTTCCCCATTGGTCTCCTGAACTCTTGCATTCTACAACAGCTTCTCATGGCCGAGACCTGTGCTGTCACTGACCTAGAGCCACTGTGCCTGGATGGCCCTGGCTCTGACCACAAGACTGACGAGCACCTTTCCACCAGAGACACCCAGACTGCCACACCTGCCCTCACCAAACAGAGCCACCGTCCTGGATCTGCCCCTATTCCCACTGCCGTCACCACCCCATACCTTTGCAGGTCCAACGCAAACCTGCCCTGACAAGCACATCCCTCCAGAGAGTGCAGGAGCCATAAAGCCAGACCTTATCATGCCAACACCTCAACCACACACGCTCAACCCCCTCACACACTTTTCCCAATGGAACTGAATTGCACTTTGACACTGTGTTTACACAGATGTGCATGATCAAATAAATCAAAATCACCTGTAAACTCATCTCCCAGCAATTGTACCCATACTGTAATCTTGTTCTGGTACAGATAAGATTGGCAACTATGTCCTGTAAATAGAGTTTATGTCATCTTGTTCTCACAGAATTCCTAAAGCTAATTCTTAAAGTTGGATGCGTTTCCTTCCAAATAATTTGTGTGTTTTCCAAAATTAACCCCCCTAAAGTATATAGCTTGTACTCTATCCTTTCCACATCAATATTGTGTTCACAGGAGAAAAGTAGGGATCAGTAAAAGATTACAGCTTTTCTAAGAGTATTAAGGTTATGGGCAAAGGCTAATTATCTAGTTTAGCTGAAGAAGAATGCAGAGAAAAAGACTGAAGTGTGTCTGTTTCATAATTCCACAAAAGCAGGATGCAAAGTGCTACGTCTGTGCAGAAATCTGAATAAAGCCCATCACAGCTCAATGTCAAGTCCTGGTTTCGATAACACACTATGATCATGTACGATGCTTGAAGGGCATATGGGATCATGTACAATGGGTGAAGGGCATATGAGATCTCTCTACATTATTTTACGGCTTCTTGTGGGTCTGTAGTTATTTAAAAATAAAAAGTGTAACTGTATCATTAGTAAACCTCAATGATCTTAAAGGAAACAAATGAAGAATGATCTCAGGGAAAAGCTGGGGTCCTCTGAAGCTAGCAGCAGTGTGTGAGAATTGGGACAGCTCCTTAGAAGAAGGGTAGAAGCCAGCACCTCCTAGGCCTGCAGGGGGCGACACTCCCAGGCCACAGCCCCACCTACCTCTGCTGATGGTGTTCCAGCATCTGCTGGCCCTTGCTCAGGGCCTGCTGCAGGATGGAGGAGATGTGCCCTTCAGAATCTGCCTCCCCAGGCTCGTTCAGGACCCCAGGTCCACTGGCCCCCCAGTCTTGCCAGCTTGTCAGGAACCGCTGTTGCTGGGCCACCTCCTGCTTTGACAGGTGCTCCTCCAGCTTCCGCTCCAGCTCCTGGATCTCCTGCATGGAGAAGGGGTGGTAATGAGTCCAGCACATAGGTATGGCATCTTCTACAGGCACCTAGGGCTTGCCTGGCTCCCTGTACAGCTGTGTCTGATCGTGCAAGGTGATTGCCACCATCTCTCACACCTGTGCACCTCCACATACGCTGCTCCCTTCATTGGCGGTGCCCCTACCCATCTGGCTGAGCATCCAAGTCTCTTTGCAAGCTCTGTTTAAGAAGCCCTCAGTGATAGGTTCACAAGTCCCTGGGAAAGGTAGACACCCTTCCACATGTGTCACTCACCACACCTCATTTATGCTCCGTTTTCAGTTTCCTGAACCATGGGCTGTACCTTTCAGCTGCAGTGTGAGCTCTCTGAGGGCAAGGCTGAGTCCCCTGCTCCCCGTCTGCAGCGTGGTTGGCAGCTGGCACCTGTCACTGGCTTACCACAGGGCATCTGCCTGTATCCACCATGGGCAGAAGCCATGCAGGATGTAGCAGCCACAGCAAGGATTGTACCAAAGGGAAGTGCCACCCGCCAGCCTATTCTAGGACTCTCTTTATATAAGTGGTGCCAAGCTGACAATGGCTTCACTTATGACTTATGGCTTTACAACGGTGTGAAAGCAATACAGGTTTAGTAGAAATTGTACTCTGAGTTTCGAATCTGGATCTCTTCCCAGGCTAGAAATACACAGCATCGTGCTTTCTTATGAGGCTAGACCACAGCAGCATCACAAGTCTAGGCAGCTGTGAGACCAACAGGGAAATCCCACTTCTCTGCACTGTGCTGTGTTGCTAAGCTGTACGTTCCACAGATCAGACAGATTCACTATCATTTTGATCTAAGAAATTTTCAGCTTACCATGGTTTATCAAGAAGTAACCACATCCTAGAGGTTTGACAGAAGTATAGAGTAAATGTTTCTGTTTTTAAAAGAAATTTATTACAGTAAAAGCCATATTCCAGAGCTGTTTCAGAAAGTGGAAAGAAAAATGGGTTAAGTGTGCTCGAAGTTAGAGGAAGGATTCTGAGGGGGATGCACGGCAACATGTCTTTCGCTGTAATAATTTTTTAAAAAAACTGTGAACAGTCACCATATATTTTGATCATGCCCCGTGAGTAGGGAAGCATCCTTACTTATCTCACTACACCCCTTTAACAACTTAGAAACTGCACTCCTATTTCTCTGGTCCTGTGGATCAGAATATGGAGGCAGAGGGGGTGAAGATCATTTGCTTGGTGATGCAATTATTAAGTGGCAGAACTAGAATCTGAGGTCAGGCCAGCTGGACCCAGGGTTTGTGCTCTTAACCACTACGCAATACTGCCTCTCCCTGGCCAAACACAAGGATTCTGCATTCTCCAAGCCACTGAATCAGGCAGTCTTAACACAAGAGCTTGCTGCATGGTAGGAGGAGGTCCTGGGCCTCGGAGAACCAAACTCAGCCCATTTTTCACTGGAGCGGCCAGTACTGTGAAGGCTAGGAGTGGGATGGGGTCCATTCTAAGCAGTCCGGATGGTCCTCAGGAGGGCACAGTGGTCCTTGATCTTCCTAAATATTCATGGAATGGTTTGTCTTTCTGCTGAGGGGCCGAAGCGTGCATCACATTCTCAAAAGGGCCCCAAAGCCCCTCGAGGCTCTGAAACACTACTCAAAATCCAAGACAAAAGAAAAAACAGCCAGAGAGGTGACTCAGAGGGAGCCTGACACCCAAACCACACACTTGGGGCTTGTTCCCAAAGCCTAGGAAAGCTCCGAAAGCCTCCGGGCCAGACTTCTGACGTGCTGACATCTGGAATTACCAGCATCACTCTTGCTGCAGCAGCCGAGTAGGAACATAACCCAGTGAGGCTTTCAACAGCGAGTTCTGTCCACCATCAGCAGTGTCACCAGGGAAATTGGTAATGCACAGAGGGCTGGCTTTTCTGCAAGCAGCCTGCAAGGCCCTGGTTAGGGACAGACACTAGGTGAGCATGTGTCCTGCAGTTTATCATCTGCAGATAGCATGTTACCCCAGCAAGTCAGTCTTGGCACGTGACACTTGCTCCTCTGCCCACATCTGCTGCCACTCAGCACAACTGGAATCTGAAACCCACTCCTGGAATTGCTTTCATGCTGCCTTCCTCCCTGGACCCTAAGTGCTGAAGGCAGGAACTCTGGGTTGCAGTGACTGGTTTATCTGTATTGCCACAGGGAGCACAGGCCCCAGATCGTGGAAGCAGCAGCAATAAAGATGAGGAAAAGAAGGAGTTGGAGACTGAAGAGGAGACAGAAGTTAGCTGGCATTGCCTGAAGGCCTGTACTATGTTGGATTTCATTCTGAGTATTTCTTCATAAATTAGTTTATGTGATCTTTGCAAAATAACCCAAGATAGGAATTCATTATCATCCCATTTTATAAATAAGGTAACGGAGGCACAAAGAATGAAAGTAAATGTCCAGAAATG